CTGCCATTAGTGCCACCCAGCCCGGCTGCTGGAATCCTTCTGCTCCCTGCTGGAATCCTTCTGCTCCCTGCTGTCCCCACTAAAACCTCTCTTTGGGCATAGAAAACCGGGATCAGCCTGTCCCGAGACACTGGGCTGGTGCAGAACAGCCACGGGAGGGGATCTGTGAAGGAAGGGGGATGGGATTATGGAAAAATCGTGCGTGTGCGTCCCTGGTGTTCTGTCCGAGCTGCCTGTTTGGAGCCGCTTTCCTTCTTGGCCTCTCTCTGTGAAGTTTTCACTTGAAGTTCTCGGTGCACCCGAGGTATGGGGGCTGCTCTGGAAAACACGGGGGCTTTTGTGTCCTGTGCTGGGAGCTCTGGCCTGAGCAGTGGGGTTAAGGACACTGGGAATGACTCGGGGGGGAAGTGGGATCGCCCCCTCTCCTCCGTGGGGACACAGGGGCTGTCACAGGCTCCTCACCCGCGGGTGCAGTTAACAGCAGCTGGACGTGGTGTCATCTGCCGGGAAAGCAGCGCGGCTCTCCCGAAAGGAAAGCGCAGAGATCCTTATTTTTGGGAGCTGTGCTGCAGGGCCGTGGCACCAGGAGGCAGCAGGATGTGGCCGCCCCGGCGCGGGGGTCACGGGGAGGGAAGTGGCCTCATGTCTGACCCCTCCCCAGCTGCCGGAGCCTCCGCACTGGGGCCGCCCATCACACGGGGAGCTTTTTCCCCCCCTCTTTTGAAGAAGGAAGCTCGGCCTCGGTGCCTGCCAGTGCTCACAGAGGGTCAGAGACGGGCTGAGTGATTGCAGGGGTGAGCTGCCGAGGCCAGGAACGCAGGTAGGAGCTTGCTGACTGCTGCCTGGCTGTTTTGTTTGTTTTTTTTTTTTTTTTTCCCTGGCTTGCTGTTTTCTCCCTGGCTGTAGTTAAACCCCTGCGTGGTGCCGGCAGTGGAGGGGAGCGAGGGGCGTTGCTTGGCAGGCGCTGACGGAGCAGTCATGAGACTCCTGAAGTCCTTTTCGGGCCAATCTGCCTCTGTGGGGAGGGCAAGATCCATCGGGAATGCTGCTGGCTCCTGGAAAGCCTCGGGATGGCTCCAGCAGGGTGCGAGTGGAAGCTGTTTCCAGGTGTTTTGGAGGAGTTGACTCTCCCCTTTTCCAGGCTCTTGACTACCTGTAAAAGTGACCAAGGGGAGGGAAGCAGCTCCTGGGCTTTGTCTACCCGGAGCTGGTGTTGGAGCAAGGCAGCTCCATGTGATCCAGCATTCCTGGTGGGGGAGGAGGAATGGCAGGGCACTGCCAACAGCCCTGGCAAACCTGGAGCTGCGGGAGCAGGGAGAGAAGGAACTTTGGGGAAGGGAGGGCCAGATGTCAACACTCTGGGCAGGCACATCCAGCTGCCCCTCCTGTGTCGCTGGGAGAAGCTGGAGGTGTGGCTGTGCCTGGACACCCCTGGCAGGGCTCCCTGCAGGGCTGTGTGATCTGGAGCCCTGGCCGAGGTCCTCTGGTGGGTGACGTGGGCTGGGAGCTTGGCTGGCTGGGAGGAGGAGTCAACTGAATGACCCGAGGTTGGTCTGAGAGCAGGGAGTGGTTTTTCCCCTCACCTTTGAAGCTTGCTGATACCATGCAGGTGCTTTGCATGTCCCATTTCTCAGTTGTCCCTAACCTTTCCTTTGCCTCTTGTTCAGAGGCAGTGTCACTGCTGCCCGGGCTGTGATCCTGCCTGTGGAAGTAGGTGTTGTACAGATGATATCATCTCCCAGCAATGTCAGGGATGCTTTGGTGTCTGTGCCTCTTTAGTTTTTATTTTTTTTCCCTAGAGCTGAGTGTTTCTTTTAGCTCAGTTGCAGTCACAGACCATAATTAAATAGGCTGCATCTGCTTGAAGTCTCAGCTACTCATTTTGCTAATGCCTGACACAGATGCTGAATCGTCTGAGAGACAATTGCTGCTGTGTCGAGCTCCCCAGTTCTCATGGATGATGTGGCCATAGGATCAGGGATTTGTTTGTAGGACAAATACTGCCTCCATACCAAATAAACTCTGACCCTGACACGTGTGAGGGCTGGGCAATCCCCAGCCCTGAGATGTTTAACAAGGGCAGGTCCTGGATCCTGCCCCTGGCCCAGGGCAGCCCTGGATGCAGGGACAGACTGGGGAGTGAGAGGCTGGAGGGAAGGGCCCTGGGGGTCCTGATGGGTGGCAAGTTGGATCTGAGTCAGTAGAGTGTCCTGGCAGCCCAAAGGGCCACCCTGTCCTGGGGGGCATCAGGCCCAGCATCACCGGCTGGGCCAGGGAGGGGATTGTCCTGCCCTGCCCTGACCTGGGGCGGCCTCACCTCGAGTCCTGGGGGCTGTTTGGGGACCACGGTGTCAGAGGGATCTGAAGCTGTTGGGGAGGGTCCAAAGGAGGGACAGGGAGATGGAGAAGGGTGTGGAGGGGAAGGGTGTGAGGAGCAGCTGAGGGCACTTGGCTGGGTCAGCTGGAGCAGAGGAGACTGAGGGGAGACTCCTCGGGGGCTGCAGCTCCTCCCGAGGGCAGGCGGAGGGGCAGGCGCTGAGCTCTGCTCTGGGACCAGGGACAGGAGCCAGGGAAGGGCTGGAGCTGTGCCAGGGGGGTTGGGATGGATCTCAGGGAAAGGTTCTTCCCCCAGAGGGTGGTGGGCACTGCCCAGGCTCCCCAGGGCAGTGGGCACGGCCCCAAGGCTGCCAGAGCTCCAGGAGCGTTTGGACAATGCTCTGAGGGACAGGGGGGGATTGTTGGGGTGTCCTGGGCAGGGCCAGGAGTTGGACTGGTGATCCTTGTGGGTCCCTTCCAGCTCAGGATATTCTGGGATTCTATGAAAAGTCTCTCCATCCTGCTCAAATGACGATTTCTCTGAAAAATGATCAGTGTTTGTTTCTTGATGTGTGTGGCGAAGCCCAGAGGATGTTTGGTTTTGCCCTTGCGTTTCACCCTGTCCTCCTCTGTGCAGATCCTACAGAAAAGCAGCAGGAATGGGGTCAAAACCAGTAGGAATGGAGTCAAAGCAGTAGGAATGGAGTCAAAGCAGTAGGAATGGAGTTGTGCTGCTCCAGGGTCACTGCTGGTGCTCTGGGGAGGGCGGTGCTCCTGCCCCTGCGTGCCTGCTTGTGTCAGAGGCCGTGTTTTCCTCCATCCCCACCACAAGGAGCTCGTTGCGTGCAAGGCCTTCTCTGGGACTGATTTGCTGCTGGAGAAACCATCTGCATCCCCGGCACGTGGTGCCCACATTGCTGGCTCCGTGGGGGCTGGTTCTGTGGCGCGGGGTGGGCGCAGCCCCCGGAGCTTCCGGCCCGGCCGTGCCGCAGGATGTGGCCAGGCTGTGACACAGCCCTGCCACCAGCGCTGCTGCTCGGCTTCCTCACTCCCCCTGGGCCTGGTCCTGCCTCCCCACAGCGGCCCAGCGGGTCACAGGGGCTGTTCTGGCAGCAGCAAGGCTGGGCTGGGTGGGGCTGGGGGCAGCCTGGGCTGCTGGAAGGTGTCCCTGCCCATGGCGTGATCTTTAAGGTCCCTTCCAACCCAACCATTCCACGATGAGATGTGTGCCATGGGCTCACCTCCCAGCCCAGGGAGGATCTCCCTGAACCACACTCTGGTTTCTCCCAGCACACGTCGTGGCCCGTGTTGCGACAGGAGTTGGGATCTCCCCGCTCCTGCACGGAAGAGGTCACTGAGCCCATTCCCGCAGGAAACGTCGAGCCTGTTCTTAGTGGGATGAACTGGAGTGGTTTGGGGTTTCTTCCTCGCTGTAATTAAATAAGAAAACAAGAGGCCTTGGCTTAAAGCTTTTTTAATCTTTCTCCAGAGAAGAACTGCTGATTAGCACTGCGGCATCTGGTAGGGACGGGCTCGATTGCAGCGATGGCAGTCGTGACCTTGAGTTTGGGATCTGCTTCCCAACATTTGAGGACACTGTTCACCTACTGGAACAACACTGGGGCTTCATATAAATCTAATCTAAAATTCTGCTTGGGGAAAGGGGTTTGTTTGCTTGTTTGCTTATAAAATTATGAAAACTGACTTGTGCTATTTAAGGCATCAGCTTAATTTCTGCTACTTTATTCATTTCTGTCCATGTAAAGCACATGTAAAACAGTATTTTTGGTACACAAAGCTTTCTGCTTTAAGCCTCCATCAAAGAACAGCCTGACACAAATTCTGCAAGGGGCTGGATGTGGGAACAAAGGAGGTATAATTAGCTACAGATAAACAGAGCTGTGTTTCTCCTCAGCATCCCTTCAGATCTTAACTTGGGTCTCACCCTTGGAGCTGATTCTTCTCCAACAGACTGGAAGAGGAAGATGAGGGAAAGCTCATCGTGAAGTGAGCTAAACTGAAGTGAAAAATGTGTTTCTGGTGTGTGTGCACCTGCAGCAGAAGCTGGGGCTGCTCTCAGGGCTGGGGTTATTTCAGGAGATTCGCTTTCCGGGCGCCTGAGCTGTGACTTCTTCTTCTGGTTCCCCTCCACCCTTTGGTTCCTGTCTCTCACCCTTTCCCCGCCGGCTGCTCTGCTGGAGGGTGTCTGGCAGCAGCTCCGAGCTGTGCTGTGGGTTGACATGACCTGACCTTTTGGGTAGGTTTGCTCCCAGAGGGGGAAGATCAGGTGAAAAGTCGGGTCCAGGTGAAACCCAAGTGGTTTTTACCCTTGTTTGGTGCGTTGGAGCTGAGCAGGAGCTGAGCAAAGTTTGTCTTCGTGGGGCTGGGGCTCTTGGTGCAGTGATGTGGGGGGAGAGGCTGTGAGGCCTTTCCCTCAATCCTACATGGAATGTGTCAGGAGTTCCCTCAGTGGGGCTCTGTTCAGCCCAGGTCACCCTGACAGCCGCTCTGCTCCAGCTGGGCTGGGAAGGGAAGGGGGAGGAAGGAAAGCTGGCATGGACTCCCCCTCCTCAGATGGGGGCGAGAGCCCAGATGGCATCCCAGATCTCTTCCTATGGGATTTACACAAGGTTTCCTGTCGAGAGAGCTGCTCCTAATCGCTGCCCTTCTGTGCCGTGTTGCAGCTCAGGACCAGATGAGCAGAGGGAGGTTTCTCTGAAGATCAGAGTCGCCCCGGCCGTGCCTCCGGCTGTCCCCGCGGCGGGCCCGGCGCAGCGCGAGGAGGCGGGAAAATGTCCCACGCTCTGAAGCAGGTGTTCAACAAGGACAAAACCTTCCGGCCCAAGCGCAAGTTCGAGCCGGGCACGCAGCGCTTCGAGCTGCACAAGAAGGCTCAGGCCTCGCTCAACGCCGGGCTGGACCTGAAGGTGGCCGTGCAGCTGCCGCCGGGCGAGGAGCAGAACGACTGGGTGGCCGTGCACGTCGTGGACTTCTTCAACCGCATCAACCTGATCTACGGCACCATCAGTGACTATTGCACCGAGCAGTCCTGCCCCGTCATGTCGGGGGGGCCCAAGTACGAGTACCGGTGGCAGGACGAGCACAAGTACCGCAAACCCACCGCCCTGTCGGCCCCCCAGTACATGAACCTGCTCATGGACTGGATCGAGGTGCAGATCAACAACGAGGACATCTTCCCCACTAACGTTGGTGAGTTTGGGGTCCAGCTGTGGCTGGCGGGGAGGGAGGTGGGTGCAGAGCCTTCTCCTGGAGCCTGTTTCTGTTCAGGAGGTGCTGCAGAGCTGTTTCCTGCTGTGCTGCTCCCAGGAGCTCTTCCCAGCTCCTGTGCAGCGCTCAAATACCCAGAGCTGCACCAGATCCCCCTTGGAGCCGTGGGCACCTGGAGGAAAGCCCAGGCAGGCCGTGCAGATGGGAGGCTGCCCTTGGAGCACGGGCTCTGAGGCAGCTCTGGAGTGGAGAGGCAGCTCGTGCTCCTGCAGATCAGCTCTCCTGGCGCTCACTGCCAGCCTGGATCCAGGCTCTGCGTCACCTGGTGATGCTGCCACGTGCCCTAATCAGCCTCTTTGTTGTTAGAGGCTGCTTTGGCTGCCTCTGCCCCTCCAGAGGGGTGGGCTGCTGGCACAGGCCCGGAGGGAGGGGCCGTGTTTCACCTCCTGCCAGGGCCCTGGAGAATTTGGCCTGAGACACCTCAGTCTGCATATCCAAGCACAGCTTCTCTGGGTTCAGGATGGAGATTGCTGGGGTTTGTTTATTTTGTGTTGCAGATGGGAGAATCCATTCCCTAAAGCATCAGGTAAACATGGCTGAGCCCCTGCAGAGCTTCCATCTCCTGGCATGCAGGAGACAAGGAGCAGCAGAGCTCCCTCCCTCCTGCCCTGGTGTTTATCCCACTGAGCTGTGACAGGATGCAGTTGGGCACTGCTTGGGGCACGTCTGCCCCTCGAGCTCCTCCTCTGTGCCAAAATGCTGCTTCAGCCTGCTGTGGAGTGGGCAGAGGTGGGAGGAGGGCCGTGAACAGCTGAGAGATCAACCCCCTGGCCAGCCCTTCTGCTGTGGGGAGCACACAGGGAGTGCTGGTTCTGTTCCGGAGGCAGGACGAGCTTCCCACAGCACCAGGGTTGTGGTTGGTTGGTTTTTTTTCTCTCAGTTGTTACTGTTTTCAGTTCAGCTTTCAAGCAGATCCTCCCCCTTCACACCGACTGAAACATTGCAGCTCTCTCAGAGCACTGGAAGGGTTTAACTGGCCCTGGTTCCTCCAGGAACAGCCCGTGTGGACTTTACTCCTGATATCCCACCGAGGTGCTGGATGGCCGAGCCCCTGCTGTCAGGGCCTGGGCAAACACAGACCTGGTGCCTTTAAAGAGCACCTTAAAGGCTTTTAATTTTTAACCAAAGACATATCAAATTAAGGGATAACTGTGGGGAGGTAACAACACCAACCCTTCCCTTCGGGAACTTGCTTGGTCGTATCTGGTGTTTTGCACTGTTTGTATAAATGTGTCAAACAGGAGTAGAGGAAAACTCTGACTGAAACAGCTGCAGGAAATCTGGGCTCTGCTTTCAGTGCCAGCAGTGCAGCACTCTGTCACTTAAAAAAATCCATGCTTTTGAATAATCTGATCCAAAGGGAAGCAAAAGGGAGAGGGGAATGGACATTGCCAGGGACAGAAACCCTTTTGTCTCAATCTGCCTATTTTACCAATTCATTTTAGCTCTGAGGAACCGGTTTTAACTTGACTGAAGATTTCTCATGGCCATTCCTCCCTCCCAGGTACTCCCTTCCCCAAGAACTTCCTCCCAGTGGTGAAGAAGATCCTGTCCAGGCTCTTCCGGGTCTTTGTCCACGTCTACATCCACCACTTCGACAGGATCACCCAGATGGGCTCGGAAGCCCACGTGAACACCTGCTACAAGCACTTTTACTACTTTGTGAAAGAGTTCAATCTCATAGACACCAAGGAGCTGGAGCCCCTGGTGAGTGCCTGGGTGGGCTCAGGGGGCTGTCGGGGTGTGCAGGGTGGGGGAGGCACAGAGGGCTCTGGTACCTTCTGAGGAGGCCCCACCTCAAATCCTGGGGGCAGTTCTGGGCCCCTCACTCCCAGAAAGACATTGAGGGGCTGGAGTGGATCCAGGGAAGGGGCTGGAGCAGCAGGAGCAGCTGAGGGAGCTGGGGGGGCTCAGCCTGGAGAAAAGGAGGCTCAGGGAGGACCTTCTGGCTCTGCAACTCCCTGACAGGAGGGGGGAGCCAGGGGGGTTCAGGCTCTGCTCCCAGGGAACAGGGACAGGAGGAGAGGGAACAGCCCCAAGCTGTGCCAGGGGAGGTTTAGGTTAGATATTAGGGAATATTTCTCCATGGAAAGGGTGGTCAGGCAGTGGCACAGCTGCCCAGGGCAGTGGTGGAGTCACCACCCCTGGAAGTGTTCCACAAACGTGTGGATGTGGCACTTGGGGATGAGGGTTACTGGTGACACAGCAGTGCTGGGGGAATGGTTGGACTCCATGATCTTGGGGGTCTTTTCCAACCTTAACGATTCCATGACTCTCTTCTGATCTGGTTGCCCAAATTCAGCACCAGTTGGCCCTGCAGTTTGGCTGCCAGCAAACTGGGAGTCAGGGCTGGGGGCAGTTGCTCACTCCCAGCAGCTGTTTGCCTCATCTGAGGGCTCTGTGTGATCCCAGCACCGTCAGCCATCTGCACATGGATGGATAAACCCCCCGGGGTGTGCTGGGAATGGGAATGGTGGGGGGAACACAACCCTGCCCATCCCAGAGCTCTGGGCAGCAGTGTCACCCCACACCTGGGAAGGGCACTGCCAGCGAACCACAGGGCAGCTGTTTCCATCCACCCACCCCCTCACCGGGCAGCCTGGACCCTCCTTCACCCCCCTGCCCTCTCTGTGCCTTTGACAGAAGGAAATGACCTCCCGGATGTGCCACTGAGCTCTGACCTTCCTGCTCCCACCTCGGCGCCTCCTGCGAGGGCCCAGCCCCGCTCCCGCCTCGGAGTCGCCGCTCAAGGGGAGAACAGAGACGTTTTCTTAAAGAAATGATATATTTTTAATGAGTTTCGATGTAAAACTGTGATATTGCAGGAATATTTTTTTAAAGATGCTTTAGATTAACTAGTTTTTTATAGGAATTTCTATTAAAAAAAAAAAAAAAGAGAGAGAAGAGAGAGAAAAATATGTTGAGGGCCATTTGATGGGAATGTCCGCTCTTGGACAGGGGAGGAGCTGCCCTGAGCTGCCCCTTTCCCTGTGCCCTGAGTGAGCTGAGCCAGACACTTCATTCAGAGCTGTGTGTGGAGCTGGTGCTGCCATGGAAGCAGAACTTCCCTCGGGACACCCATTCCCACCCCTGGAGGCAGGGTACCTGGGGGCTGGGGAGGGAATGCTGGATCCCCGGGGTGCTGCTTGGTTCCAGCACCTCTTCCACGGGCTGTGAGGCCAGTTTTGGGCAGAGCTTTGTGCCCAGGGCTTGGCCCTGCTCGTGTTCCCTTCAGATGAGCTGGGAGCAGGGTTTTCCCCATGGTTGCTGCTGGTGGAATCTGCCCTGCTCCCCTGTAGGAGCAGCTGAACAACACAACAGCAGCCACCTGGATGACAGAGAGAAGAAGAAAATACCTAAAGCAGAAATATTGTAGTCCAAGCTCTCCAGGCAGGCAGATGTTCCCCTATCTCCCCACATACCACACAGCCCCACGTGACTGCTTCCAGCCCCAGAGAACAGCCATGCTTCAAGCAGCTTTGCAGCCTGACCTTGGGATTCTTTTCACACACACACACAGTAATCTTAGCTCTGGCTCGCTCAGAACCACAATATTTTTGCTTTAGTATTTTCTTCTTTTACCATCCAGGTGGCTGCTGTTGTCTTGTTCAGCTGCTCCTGCACTCCCCTGGTGCAGCTCAGCGCTGTCCCCACGGGGATCCACTGGCAGCCCTGGGCCAAGCTGTGGAAATGAGCAGAGGGACAGGGAATTCCTCCCACACCTCATGGTACACTGACCCTGCCAGGAAGGACCACTTGCCCTCCGGCCTCGCTGGCCACGGGGATCACATCCTGCTTCCCTTTAGGGTGCAGAGCCCTCTCCCTCTTCCCCAGCACTGTGCCCTTGTGGGACCAAAATCCCTGGTGTGCAGCCAGAGCCTCCTGGCCTTGCCTGCTGCTGGCACAGTGAGAGCTCCCAGTGCCCCCAGTAGGTAGGCGGGTCTGCCTACGCTTGGGACCAGTAAGAGAAAAGGTTTCTATGAACAGTGACCAAACTACCACTCACCACTCCTTCCTCACAAAGTGTTCCCGTGCCCTGGAACGTCTGTACATACGTGACTCCTGTTCCTGGGCCGCTCGTACAAACACCCCTCGTGCTCTGGAATGGAACCAATAAATTATGTTGTATTTACACAGCACATGTGACGGCCCCTTTGTCACAGCCCTCCTATCAGCAGAGCAAACACGGCTGCTGGGAGCTCGTGGGGCTTGGGTGGGGGTTCCTGCTGCTCTGGGGGGTGTTCCTGCAGCTCGGGGGGGGTTCCTGCAGCTCTGGGTGGGTTCCTGCTGCTCTGGATGGGTTCCTGCTGCTCTGGGTGGGTTCCTGCAGCTCTAGGGGGGTTCCTGCTGCTCTGGGGAGGTTCCTGCAGCTCTGGGGGGGTTCCTGCAGCTCGGGGGAGGTTCCTGCTGCTCTCCAGGTGCCAGGTCAGGGCTGGTTCCCAGGGCTGTGGAGCTGCCCCAGCACCCCGGGGTTGTCCTGACTTGTCTCTGCAGTGCCCCTGTACCCGAGGGTTGAGCTGCTCTCCCAGCTCTGCAGCTCGGGTGGAAGTGGGAGGGGAGGGGAATTCCTGCACAGTGGAGGTGCTGGGCCCTCCTGAGCACCCTCCAGCCCCTCTCCCAGCGTTCTGTGGGTGCAGCTCAGCTGGAGGAACTCGCTGTTCCGTGTGGACTGTCCCTCTGGCCACGCTCCCCCCGGTTTTTGTGCCCCTCCTCACTGGCAGAGCCCGAGACACTCCCAAGTCCTTGGTTTAGGGTGAGCAGTGCCCAACTACACCAAACCCCCGGGGTGTTATCGGCGTTATCCCCACCCCAAATCCCAAACACAGCCCTCTACCGGCTCCTGGGGAGAAAACTGGCTCCGTCCCAGCTGAAACCAGGCCGCCTGCAAGGACCCGAGTGGGGCTGCCGGTGGGCAGTGAGCGCTGCTGGGGCAGCTCCTGTGGCTGTTCCTCAGCTTTCCCTTTCCCTCCCACCTAGAATGCTGGGAGGGCCGTGCCCGGGGGGTGAGCAGCACCTTCCACGGGGGTGCAGGGCCCTGCCGACCTCTGCCCCCCTTCCTCTTTTGGGGGAAAGACCCGCCCACCTCCGTGCGAGAGCAGCTCAGCCGAGGGAGGGGGAGGAGGGGAAGCACCTTCCTGGGAGATGAGCCGGGCTGCGGCTGAGCCCGGCCCCCGCAGCCCCGGCGCTGCAGGATGCTGCCCAGACAGGTCTGCAGAGCCGCAGTCGGAGCTCAGCCGTGCTCTGCCTCTGCCTCGGCAGCCCCAGCCCTGCTTTCATCTCCCGGTGCTTTCATCTCGGGTTTACTCACTCACCCCTGAGCCCCAGCTGAGAGTCACTGCAGGGAGGGGGTGACGCTGAGCCCCCAGGGCTGAGCCCCCAGGGCTGACCCCCTGAGCTGAACCCCCCAGGCTGGTCCCCCAGTTCTGAGCCCCCAGGGCTGACCCCCTGAGCTGAACCCCCCAGGCTGAGCCCCCAGTGCTGAGCCCCCCGAGCCGAGCCCAGCCTGGCGAGCAGGTTGACTGTGAGTGCCCAGGACCCCTCTGCACTTTGATCTCTGTCTCCCCGGGCTCGGGGGGTGCAGAGGCACCGGGAAGGCTTTGCTGAGAGCCCAGGGAACAGATTGCCAGGGGCTGAGGCGAGCAGGTCCCGTGCCCGGGGCTCAGGCAGCCTCCCCTCTGCGGGGCTGAGCCCTTCCCAAGAAGCACAGATGGCACCTGCCCCGGAGCTGGAGCGGGCACGGGCTCAGGGCACGGAGGGGGCTGCACTGCCGTATGTTCCCAGGGAAATGCTGCTTCCCTTTGGCTCAGGACAGGTCACCCACTGCTCCAAGGAGGCAATGGCTCACCTTGTGCCTCTCCCCTCCGGCCCCCCAAAAGCTCAGCAGCTTTAGGGCCTCAGTTCTGCCACAAATCCCGATTTAGGATCCTGCCAACGACATCAGTTTGTGACACATGAGTGATTTAGGGTCACTCAAAGAATCACCGTCAACGTTCTCAGCAAAAGTTGTTTTCATGTGAATTTGTGAGGGTGATTTAACAGAGTTTGATGGCGAGGTTCCCCCTGGTACTTCCTACCAGACTAAGGGAAATCGAGTTGGAATCAAGCTGGAATGATTTACTAAGAGACCAAAGATATAAAAGGGTAAGAGAGACCCTTCTGTTGAGTGTGAGGTTTAGAAAGCCACCCCCTGCTTCCTAAACTCCTGATGGAGCTTAGGTACACCCAGGTCCAGTTTCAGTCTCAGTAAACTGGGACAACAGTTTACATCTGCAGGAATTCACTGCATGGATTTGGTGTTCATTCAGTGTGATGTCAGGAACTCACCGAGGAGCTGCTGCAAACAGGGGTCCCTCCACCTTGGGAGAGGAAGGATCTGTGCCTCAGGTAAGGAATCCCAGACCCTGAGGGGCTTCCCAGCTCCAGGGGAGGTCGCCAGGAGCTTCCAGGCAGGGAGAGCTCCAAGGCACTCACTGGGACTGGCTGGTGGTGGGATGAAGCCACTGGCTCACAGTCAAACAGCACCTGAAGGGAAAGGTGCAGGAGACTCCTTGTGCCCACAGCTTGCTTTGTTCCTTGAAAAATGAGCCTTGGAAAAGCCCCCCGCTGTCCATGGGTTAATCCCAGGATGGGTGTTCCAGGCTCACATGGATTGATGCTCCCTGGGTCACTCTGCAAATTCCTGGGTCCCCTGGGGCTGCTGGGCCCAGCTCTGGCCTTTTCCCTCTGGAACCTGGAGCAGATCCCCCTGGTTTGGTTCAGGGCTGGAGCACATCCATCACCAGTCCCATTGGGGTTTGCTTCAAATGGGAAGCTGGGGAGGGGGGGCAGCGGTTCCACGGACCCCCAGAAACCAGCCAAGAGGGGCTGGGGGTCTCCTGCAGCATCTGCAGCCCCGTGGCTGTGCCCATGGGGTCGGTGCAGGAGCCACGTCCCGCTGGGTGAGGAGGGCAATGTCCCCAGCCAGTGCCACCTGCCTGGGCAGCAGAGCCTGCTCGGAGCATTCCCGGGCCTGTGCTGTGACACAACCACTGCTGAGGCTGCCTCATCCCGTGCTTTCCCCCCCTGCACCTTTGGAGTTGGGAAGCAGGGCACAGGGTGGCACAGGAGTGTCCCTGCACGGCTGTGCCCTCACAGCCCCCAGACCTTGGCAGCCCCGTGGCCTCCTGTGCCTCCGTCCCTCGTCCCTGCACAGGCAGTGGCAGCTTTCCAAGCGCTCAGAGATGTGCCTTTTGTTTGTCCTATTTTCCCTGGACAGCTGATGCCTCTGGGCCCACATTCCCCAGGGTCCCTGGCAGCCCCCCAGCCCCGATCTGCCACCACCTGCCACCTCCCGGGCACAGGAGCAGGGCCCTGGCTTTGCCCCGCTCCACTTTTGGGCTGCCTGGAGAGGTGACAGCCAGTCCTGGGACAGGGAACAGTCACCAGCACGGCACGTGCTCCCTCTCCCTTGTATGGCACAGCCAGGCCAGGGGCCAGCAGCTCCCCAGCCCCGTGCCAGGAACATGGGCAGGACCTGGAATGCTTCTGGGAAAGCTCTGGAGCGGGGAGCGCACGTCCCGTCCCCGGCTCGGGGCTGACACCGATACCAGGGGCACCTGCTGCTCCATCCCCTGCCAGCCCTGCGGGGACAGGGCCCTCCTCCCCCAGAGCCTCACCAAGAGGTGCCCCAGGATCACTTTTTGTCCTGGTGAACAAATCCCCAGAGGCTGCTGGGACAAAGCCACCGGCACCCACATCCCCCAGCACGGGGTGTGCAGGCCCCACTGCAGTTTCAGTGCCCTTTCCAAGGGAATTTTTTGGTGGTTTGGGACTTTTTCTGCTCCTCCGAGGAAATGGCCTGAAGCTGAGTCAGGGCAGGGTTGGGGCAGATCCCAGGGAAAGGTTCTTCCCCCAGAGGGTGGTGGGCACTGCCCAGGCTCCCCAGGGCAGTGGGCACGGCCCCAAGGCTGCCAGAGCTCCAGGAGGGTTTGGACAATGCTCTGAGGGACAGGGGGGGATTGTTGGGGTGCCCTGGGCAGGGCAGGGGTTGAACTGGATGATCCCTTCTTACTCAGGATATTCTAGGATTCTGGGATTCTAAGGAGTGGTGCAATGTGCCAGCCTGCACGTCCCCAGTCACCCCATGGTGACATCATGCAGTGGGTCAGGGCTGTTCCTGTGGATCTCACCCCTTCCCAGGGAACTGGGAGGATGGAGAGGGGGGAAAAGAGAATGGGGGGTTTAAAAGCAGCAGCTTCTCCCATCTGCTGCTCTCACCCAAGGCGGGTCCCCCTCTGTGGCACAGCGTGAGCCCCATCCCTGCCCTCCTCCCCAGACACCCGAACCTGGAGCTCCCAGAGCTGCCACCCCTTGCTTTGGGGGCTGCAGGGGTTTCCCTCCCTGGGGTGACTCTGTCCAGCTTCCCAACACATCCCTGTGCCACCCTGAGGTGACTCTGTCCAGCTTCCCAACACATCCCTGTGCCCACCCTGGCCCAGCCCCACTGCCTCCATGGCCTTGTCCCCAGGGCTTTGGCTGCTGTGGGGTGGTGGGGCCAGGACTGGCCATGTCCCCCCTGGGGGATGGGGATGCTCCCCACTGAACTGGTGTCTCCCCTGAAAGGCTTTTTTGGGGTGAAACCATCCCAGGGGGTGTTTGTCCCCTCCCTGCAGCTCCAGAGATGGGTTCTGGCTGCTCCTTCACTCCACGGCACTT